GGTGCAGTAGATTATACTCTGTGGTGTAGGCAGCCATTATGTTGGTGATTTCAAGGAGATCAAACACAGAGACCAGATCAGTCCACACATGAGGAGGGCATAGATTGTGAAGGTAATATACAGAGAATGTGGACAGACACGGGAAGGACAGAGTGAATGGAATTGTTCGAGTACTGCCTAAGCACTAGGTAAGAGTATAAAAGAAGTGGTATGATAAGAACAGAAAAACAATGGTTGTTGATATGGAGATGGAGAAAAGAGACTACTTTTTCTTTAATGTCACCTGATTTCCAAAACTAGAGAGAATAATTTATTCACAGCTCATAAAAGAAACTTCTGGTAAGGCCTTTATTTCCTGCTGTTCTAGTAACAAAAGTTAGGCTTTAAATTTCCTCCCTTTTTCCTACAGTATTCTGTTTTTGTTTTTTGTTTTTGTCCCTTGTCTCATATTCCTTTCTAATCTCTATAAGAATGCTGAAAGATGCATCATGCAATAGATAAAGACATTCAAAGGTGCCACTTTGTTTTAGTTCATGTACTAAATTATTGGGGCAACTGTATAAGAAATAAGAAAACTATATCTGCATCAGAGTAATTAACTACAACATGTGGGTCCATATTTCTCAGAGTGAATTATCTCACATTCCAGAGAAATTTTAAAAAAAGCTCTTGGAAAATTTCCATCATCCCTCAAATGACAGGTAGTCTTCACGATTTACTATTAAACTATAGCTATTTTTGGAATAGAGCCATACCTTGAAAATATTTCTCCTTTGAAAGTGTACTGATTGATTCCTGGATGATTTTGAATTGTAGAAAAGCTAGATTAATGTAGCAATTGGTTGATGATTATCTGCATTATCAGTACTATTAAGAATTATAAGGTCTAAATCAGTTGTATTGCTTTGGGGCCAAACAGGATGTTCCTAATTTTCCTGTTGAGAGTCAGCCAACTAACTACTTCTGCATTTTTTTCATGAGTTGCTTTTACAGAACAGCAACATTTAAGAAATCTCCAAAAGAGGCAACCACAGGTGGCTCTACTGTGATTTCTTTCTCCTTGTGACATAGCTTATTAGGACATATGAGAGAAAGAATTGGCCTTGGAAGGAAGGAAGCAGAAGGGATGTGGCAACATTAGAGGAGGCAAGGAATTTAGAGAGGAAAGGGATATTTATACACTGAAATACTCTGCCTTGTCCGAATAACTATATAACAAAAGGAAGTATTAATATTTCCAACAAAAGAATGAAAACCCTCAGCAGAAGAAGAATCACCTAAGAGTCATAACTCTTTGTGAAATGTACTTCATTTTTTACCAAAAACTAACATAAGATTCACTAGATACAATATATTAAATGAGGAATAACCATTTTACAGTTTCATTAAATATTCGGAATTTTTCTAAAAATTAGAGAATAAAAAATATTTGGTAAATATAGAACATGATCAGAATTCAAATACTGTCTCAGTTATGGTCCTAGAGAAAAATAATCATGTAGAAAGCTTCTTCAGGCCCTGTGGTTCAGATTTCTTACCCCGTGATACACATTTTCAACTCTAAGCATTATAATAAGGTTCCTCTCTTCAAGATTCTTTAAGCACATCTGATTGAAACTAAATATTTTTCACCCTATGTAAACATTTTGCAATTGTGACTAAATTTGATATTCTTCATCATGTCTCTTCATCATACGTAGGATTATTAGGATTACAGTTTTGCTGCCTGTAATCACATAAATGGAAATAGCCTGAAAATGCTGGAAAAAAATAAAGTTATTTATTTGTTAATAAAAATTATGTTTCTTGGAAATTGTCTTCTCTAACTAGGCCAAGAATTTCTTCAATTGTCATTTACTCAGATGTCACCCTATGATGAATAAGAAGAATTCCATAGTTAAGAAGTTTTTTTCTATAATAAGGCAAATATCTGGATGAAATGTAAAATTTTAAAAATTTTATTTTGTACTTACTCCTTGTAACTTTTTATTATGATAAAATTTCAAACTTACCGAAGAGTTGCAAAAAGTTGCTCAAAGAATTACCATTTATCTTGTAACAAGACTGTTTTTTCTTTTCGTGACTGGCAATGGATCGCAACCCTCAGTGTCGTGCCTGTACCGGACCGGTACTGGCAACGGGATCGCAACCCTCGGTGTTGCGCCCGCACCTCGCTCAGCCAGTGAGCGGCCGGTCTGTATGTGGGATCCGAACCCTCGACGGGAGTGCCGCTACGCTCCCAAGCGGTGCACTGTAGCAGTGCGCCACCAGGCTGGCCCCAACTCCTTGTAACTTTTTATTATGATAATATTTCGAACTTACCGAAGAGTTGCAAAAAGTTGCTCAAAGAATTACCATTTATCTTGTAACAAGACTGAACATTACATTTGTTCCTTAAAAGCTTTGTTTTACTCTCTATCTATCGATCTATAGATCTATCTATCTATCTACCATCTATCTCTTTTACTGGACCATTTGAGAGTAAGTTGGAGATGCCACGTTTCCTTACCCCTGAATACTTCAGTGTTTCATGTGTAGGAATAAGGATGTTATTTTTACATAACCTCTGTACATTTACCTAAATCAGCAAATTTCATATGGGTGCAATATTATTATCCAATTTATAAA